CAGAACTGGAGTACAGGCCAGAGGTGCAGGGGTGGTGACAAGATTCACCAGAGAGAGAGTGGGGAGCAGAACAGGCAGACTGACAATGTACACTGCTGAGGGGAGCAGCGGGTGGTCAGGAGAGGTCTGCCACGCCATGTGGTCCCCTCTGGGGCAGGCTGGGATCGAACTCATGTGGAAGTGGCTTTAGCTTCTTAGTGCTGTGCTTTAACTAGCTGCACCACCAGGGAGGGCCTAATACAGTAGCTATTTAAAAAATACATCTAATCAGTAAGAACAAACATAAATTCTTGTCTAGTTATCTTTAAACTTGTATCATGGATATTAAATTCATATGATGAAATTTAGATTCACTTCATGGATTTAAATGCATGCCTCTCTAAGATTTATTTCCAAGAGGTTCAAATGACTATGAAAAGTTTTTATAGATAATTATATTCATAATGAGTTGTGATGTGGTAAAAAAACTTAAGTAAAATATTTTACAATCAACATATTCTAATTTGACACAAAAATCTAAAAATAATTCTTTAAAATTTATTTTTGTATATTTCAGTTAGACTCACTTTATATGGTCTTGTTCCTTTTTTTGTGTGTTTTTTTCATATATTTATAAGTATTTTTATTCAAGTGTTTATTAGCAGTATAGTGAACTCTACTTAGCAGTTTATTACAATAGATAACATTTTAAAATTTAATTAAAAAACATCAGATTAAGAGTTATAGAAAAAGCTTGACCTTCAGAACAGAGAGCTGAGTTCTACATTGGCTGAAACAGTGGATAAATTAATCTGAACTTAGGGATATAAATATTAATGGAATGTTTATATGTATGGGAGACCTGCCACAAATCCACCTTATCAACCTATTCTGTAAAATGTCCTGGAGCCCTGAAATTACCCATGAACTGGCGAATTTGGTGGAGTATTTGTCAGGGGTCTTGAGAGTTACTGCAAAGGAAATGTCCAAGGGAAGCTAGCTTCAGGACTAACTTGCTTGTTTAGGGTCAAGAACTGATCTGAAAGATGTTATAGAATTTTCTTTGTGGAACAGGGGTAGAGGAAGTGAGTAAGACTAATTCCATTTAGAAGGCAGATCTGACTGAGATTGCTGGTGTAAATGGTAGCAATTCAAAGAAGTAAGGTATATAAAACTCAAATATCTTCTTAGATTGAAAACTGTAGATATTGCAACTTTCTATGACTTGATAATTTTTGGGATAGACATGTTTTGATGGCTGAAGAGTTAGGGTTGGGAGTCATTAATTTTTCTCATTAGTCTCCCAAATCTAGCAGCCCCTCAATAGAATAAACAATGTCTCTTCATAAACTCAGCCATGAATTTTAAATAAATTAACCCTTAAGTCGTCAACATCCCCCAAGTCCATTGTGATCACTAAACACAATTCCCACCATGTCTGTGAAACACAGTGTAAGAAGAGCTCTAAATTTGAACTCTTCCAGAATTTTTACATCGTTGTTGTTTTTAGTAAAGATGCATCAGTTTTGGAAATTTTTATATTGTAGTTTTTTTCCCTATACATTTTTGTTATATTTAGAGAATGCCTCATTGGCGTTTAGTTTTTTTCCTCTTGTAATTTCCCTTTCACACGCAAATCACATCTCACATAGTGTTTGTTTTGTAAGGATTGTGGGCTCCGATTTTCCAGAACATGGTTTAGAAAGTTGCTAAATGGAATGCTTCTCGTATACATCTAAAATACATATTCAGGACATGCAAATGAATTGTAATCCAATTAAGTATTGAAAACAAAGCCTTAAATATCCTGTTAATGAACTGCACATAGGCACTAAAAAGACACTCTATCAAGACGGAATTACAAAGATCCTGGCCTTACTTACAAGTTGTAAAGGCCATTTTCAGGTATAAATAAAGAGAGTAACAGTCATTCAATTAGAGGTGAACATTCATCTAGGAGAGGAAAAAGCCTTTCTCTGATAAGACCCAGAAATCTTGTTTTTCTGCTAATGCGATTTCATACATTTTTGTTGCACGGTGGGCTGAGCAGCATTCCTGCTCTGTCGCCCCGGCTGGGGATTGTTCAGTGTCATGTCACACATAGCCATGACCACAGTCCTCATGCTGAGCGCATGAACTGATCCCATGGTTGCAGTGACAGTTGCGGGAGAAAGCAGAAGCACACTGATTCATTCTCAGCCTCTTCCCATCTCTGCAGCCTTGTATCCTTTTCAGGTTTATTCATGAGCTCATCACTAGGGAAGAACAAAACTTTGTCTGTGCTATAATGTTGCATTTAAAAGCTATAAATTTGCTAGGCTATAAATAACTGCCCCCCCCCCCCCAAATATTACCTCTCATAAAATCCGTGAGCATGCCTATGTGTGGATATGCTTGGATTTTCTCTCTATTCATTGCACCTTATAACCCCATTAAATCTTGAACATTCTGAAATCTAGTGGTTGAAACAGTGGCAATTTTGTTCTGCTTCCTTGAAATGGAGAAGAAAGAAAATAAATACTTGTTTAAAACAAGTTGTCTGTTCAAACTTCCTTTTTCTGGGTTAAGTACACATTACATGCTTGCTTGATTAATTAATTATAACTTACTGTGAACCAAAATATGAACTACAATTTCAGGAAGACAATATGCCAGTTCTCTCTCTCTCTCTCTCTCTCTCTCTCTGATGTATTTATTTATGCATACAAGAACTGGAGGCCAGAGATGTGGTGGTGGTGGGGCGGTGAGAGGATTCACTAGAGACAGAGTGGAGAGCAGAACAGGTGGACTGCCTGAAATAAACTGCTGAGGAGAACAGTGGGCCAGAGAGGAGAGGTCTGCTGTGTCATGTGGATCAGCTGCCTAGCTGGGGATTGAACTCTTGCAGTGGCTGCAGATAACTTTAGAGTGCTGTGCTTTAACCCTTGTGCCACCAGGGAGGCCACCCCAGTCTTCTCTTTTAATAACAACATAATCACTTGTATTTGTGTGTGTGTGTGTGTGTGTGTGTGTGTGTGGTCTTTCTATGCCAGAAAATCTCCTTCTAGCCCTTGGAGTTGGACTCTGGTTGGAGTCCTTTCCATTTCATTTTTAGCTCAGTTGTTCTTGTCTGCTTCCAAGTGAAAACCAACAATTAATTCAGATAACTCATGTTATTTTCCTCTAACACCAAAAAGATTATAATTAATAAAGTGTTAACTTAGTTAATATTTGGCGGAAAAGGGGGTGTGTTTATGAATCTGTCTCTAGCAAGCATGTGGGAAACTTGTACTGAAAGTAACCCATTCCTTACCAAGTGGACTCAGTTTAGACTTCCTCCAGCTTCTTTTAGTGATTGTGCTTTTCCTCAGTGTTATTCCTCACTTCTACAGCATCCTGGGGCCAGGAAATCTTTCCTTGCCTTTCTATACCCCACTTATATCATGTTGGGGCTCAGGAAACAGGACAGCTTGAGGGCTGCTTTCTAGTGCCATCATGCAGACCTTTCTTCTGCTTCTGCACCTTTCCGGTCACCAGAATTCTAGAGCCTGATGCTCTATCCTGGGGGTTTCACTGAGAGAAGGCAATGTTCTCTGACCTTGCAATTTCCAAACCAACCCAAGAGTAGAGAAGTTAGGGCCCATCACCTTCAAAGGTTATTCATACTCCTTGGTTTGCTCCCCTTTCTCTATTCAGAACTCTTCCTGGAGTCTCTATAGGATTGAGTGTGTAATTCCCAAGAGGCAAACATGGGCTATGTCATCCTCTCCATGAAGCAAGAAGGCAGGCACCATTGAGCTAAGTAAATGGACAACTGGGAATAAATAAAATGCAGGGTGGCGGTCATTATTCTGCCACACTCTGGTAGGCTAAAGAAAACTGATTCCCTTTGTTTTTATTCTCAAAAATTGATCCCCAAAAAGTCATTATTTAATTGCTTGTAGTGCTTCCTCTACTAAGTTCAGAATGAGAAGGGACGGGAAAGTGTGAGGTGGTCAGGAAGGTTAGGGTCAATGTCACCTATAGATTGAATACCCTGAGGACTCTGCTTTTCTCTCCATGGCAGTGACACTTCTCTAGCCTTCTCTGTTGAGAGGAGACAAGACCACCATCTTTTCTCAGACAATATATATATGTGTCTCAATTCCAACCATGAAAAGAAAATTGGGTTCCTTACTCTTCTAGCTTAAAGAATAAATTCCTTTGGAAGCATTATGATTAGCTTCACTTGAGTCATCTATTTACCTTGGATGAATCACTATGGCCATGCAAAATGGAGATTATTGCATATTCAGAATGGTCAGTTGTTAATACCAGTCCCTCAGGAGTCCACTGAGATTAGAAGCCCTAACACAACTACACCATTACAACAGGCAAAAAAGGGGAACTAGAAATGCTCTTGTGGATAGGAAAAAAAAAAAATAGTTGGCGCTTATCACAAATGCCTAGCAAACTTTGAATTCTGGATGATATATCGTGGAACTACTAATTTGCAATAAATTCTTCTCAATTTATCTAAATTTAATAATAAGCATCTTTCTTTTTCATCAAGTTCAGCTGATTATAATTGTTTCACCTGAACTAACAGAATGGTGTGTATCAATGCTATCTTAATGAAAGAAATAGCAACTAATTCTTAGTTCAGTAACAGCAGCAGCAGCTACTTATTAGACAATTGAAAGTTCTTTCCTAATAAGGTACAGCCTGTTTATTGGGGATTTGTATGCTTTAGCCAGTTTGTGGGGAGGTGCGCATGGTGACGGGAGGGTACAGCGATGGACATGGATGGGGGAAGTATACACTAAACGCTTTCTTTTTTGGTTAAAGAAAAAAAAAACTACAAACAATATCCTACTCATCAGTAAATGTGGGATAGAAAACCTGATTGTTTGTACTCTGGCATTTATGTATGTTCTCAGTCCACCTATTCAGTTTATTTGGGTACTAGCGTCCACGGGAAGAACATCTAAATGTGAAAACAAGTATCACTCAGGAAAAAGTATTCACAAAAGGAAGCTGGAAAGATGGCCTCGGCAGGCTGGTCAGTAGAAACAGACAGTGTGCAGGAAGGGGCGGCCGCTCTTCTCCTCGAACTCCTGCAGCAGCTCCTCGATCTCATTCTCCATGTCCTCCATGTGCTGGAGGCACTGGCAGAGCTCGCAGAGAAGAAAGGCCCCCAGGGTGGCCTCCTCGTGGTTGTCCTGGATGTCCACGTTGATCACATGCACCGGCTGACAGGTCTCCTGCTCTCTGGAGTTGAGATCTTCCACCACCTGGTCATATACTCGCTCCTCACAGGTGAGGATCAGATCGAACTGATCCTTGCAGTTCTGGAACCTTTCTGGCCGGGGTTTGATTCTCTTATTTCTGTCCAACATATGTAAGATGCCATTCTGCGTATACAGTTCTTTGTCCTTCCTCAGGAGATCGTTGTACATCTGATCATACGTGGTTTTGAAATCGTAAACATTTGGCTTGTCGGGGGCGGGTCCTGGAAGCTTCACGTGAGTCCCTGTTCCAAAGGACCGGACATTGAAGCCACGTTTGCTGAGGATGCTGTGTGCCTCCATGCTCCGGTTCTGATTACTCGAGCACACCACGGCCACCCGCAGCAGCGACGACATGGCAGCACAGCTCTGTCCACGCCTTTTCCTCAGAGAGCTCAACAGACCGCGGAGCTGCCGCATGCAAGATGGCGGCACTAGCGGCTGGAAGTTACGACGCTAGCGCTAGCGACGTAGTGCGTGGAGGCGCACGGGAGGGGGTGGGGGGTTGCCATTGCGCAGGTGCAGAGTGTTGGGGACCTGTGGAGGGGGTCACCTGTTCCTCAGTTGTCAGGCTGGTTGGAGAACGGATTGCTTCAGGGTGGGTACCGCTAAGACTTGTTCTGCTAATTGGAACCACCTGCCGCTTCTAGCAGCAACTATTTCATAAGGGTAATTCTAATAAAAGACTATAGTAAGTGTCTTTATCATTTAAGATGATTCCTATACTTCTCTTTGTCAGTGCTGGAGAACAGTCATCACGTTTAATTGGTTTTGTGGGTGAAATTTTAAAAGAGGACTTGGGATGGTGGCTAATAGTACTAAGCAGATTTGTTTAATTTGAAATTAGAATCTTATTTGCTATGAGACTGCTTTGTATACTTTCATTTACAACTAATAGTTAACTTTGGAGATAACATTAATCCAAAGGGATCATGGTAAGAAAGGTACTGACTCAAATATTGATTGATTAGGTAAGAAGAATACTGATTGATTGGCCTATAAGAGCAAAGGATAATAATGTAAGATCGAATAAATAAGTGTTAAAACCCAGGGATAAGAAAAATATGGCCAGTATCATCACATTTATTCCTGGAAATGCTGTAAAACAAGGAAAAGTAATAAGGGATTTAAGAATTAAGGAAGCCAAAACTATACATAGAAACTGTATTTCTATATTTAGAAAATGCGGTGCCTCCATAGTAAATTCAGGATAATTTACATGAAAGCTGCAAATATATTAACAGTGTTTAGTAAGCTTCCTAAATTATAGATAAATAAATATATCTAACAGTAAAAGACAATGGAAGAAATCTAATAAAAACTACCTAAACAAACAAACAAACAAACAAAAACTACTAGGTGCCTAGCATAAAATATATGAAAGGCTTTTATGGGAAAAAAGTATAAGCATTGTTGAAATTATTGAAGAGTAGGAGGGATTTACAATGTTCATTATCTGATACTTCTTTGATGATAGTTTTCAAATTTAATTTAACTCTAAGTTCACAAGTCTTTCTACACTTTATGAGTTTTTTTTTTTTTTTAAAAAGAATATATGAAAGAGTAGTGATCCGGCTGTAACCAAGACTACTTTGAAGATAAAAAGTAAAGTACAACAAATTTCCTAGTCAGATGTTAAAACTTTTTACAATCTTATAATAATGAAGACACATAATTGACATAGGAACATGAGGAAGATGTAATTAGACAAACAGGTAGAACGAGAACAAGATATAAATGGAAATTTGATATATTATGGAGGTGATATTGCAAATCATTGGAGGAACAGGTGGATTTTCAATGACTGGAAATAAGAAAATTGGCTAGTCTCTTTGGAAAAAAGTATAAGGTTGGATACCTGCTTTTTCCACACAAAATAATTCAAATGGATTGAAGATTTAATATGACAAGCAAATTTTTAAACATTTAGAACTCTATGGTATCTAAGAAAGAAAATTTTCTTAAATACACAAACAGAGCCTCCTGGTGGCACAACAGGTTAAAGTGCAGCACTGCAAGCCAGTCATAGCAGCTTCAGTGGGAGTTCTATCCCCCACCCGGAGGTGATCCACATGGCTCAGCAGACCTCTCCTGTCTCACCCGCTGCTCCCCTCAGCAGTGTACTTCATCAATCTGCGTGTTCTGCTCCAGGCTCTGTCTCTGGGGAAGCCTCTCACTGCCCTTATACCTCTGACCTGTACCCCAGTTCTTGATGCATAAATAGATAAATCTTTAAAAAGGAAAATACAAAATAAATGTTTAGTCTAAAACCAAATCCACGAATTGTCAGTTTTTCTTCTCTGTAAAAGCCACATCATCTTTGCCCATTGAAACTTGATTTGTCTTAAGTTGTATATGAGATGTCAACTTAACTAGGAAGTTCTTAATATCCATAGTGAGGATGAGTTTTTCCTTTTTTCAACCCTTGCTTTAACCCTCTGTTGAATCACTTGGCATACTCTGGTAAGTACTAGGGATGTGTCTACATGTTGTTAGTATTAGACCATGTGCACACGTGCATCTCCCACAACATATTGTTAGTTCTTTGAGGGTAGAACTGGAATCTTATTCATCTTTCTGTCCAGGCAATGTAGCACCTTGCATAAAGTAAACATACAATAAATGTTTGTTGGATTTCATTTCTGTGTCCTCCGATACATTGTACTAACTGTTCTGATTCATGGAACTACTTGATTTCTTGATTTCTAGAGGGTTTAGTTACCAGTGATTAAAAAACCACAAAGTGCAGAAAGAAGATGAGGTAAAACACAGATTGCCTGAGTCTTGGAAGGTATATATTACAGATGGAATTTACATTGGCAAGACACCAAATAGCATACAAATGTGGCAGAATTCATTAATTTTCCCAGTAAATAAACAAAGTTAATTTATCTTTCTTGTAGTCATAAGTCTGTTGCTTCCGGTCCAGACAGGGGTGGAGGGTTACAGGCTCCTTTGTTGGTAGAACAGTTGACCAGAGAAAGCTAGATGGGTTGCCCTGAAGGTATTCTGAACTAAGACCAGTTTATAGAATAGAACCAAAGAGGCCCCATTTGGGAGAGCTACTGTTTGTCTGTCTTACATGTCAGTAAATACCCTCCTTTTGTTTTTGTGGCAGTGGTAAGAAATTGATCTTATCACCAGGCATCATGCTAGGTCTTTACTTAGGAAAAAAAGCCCCCCCAAAGGGCTTCAGGAACCAAGTCAGAATGTGCACCTGGTGTTGAAGTGACCATTTGATCTTTCCAGCACCAGAGTTCACTTCTTAGTGAATTGTTGTTTCTGTTAATTCTCCACTCATTCAAGTCATTGTGAAACACTTTCATAGACCTTTCAATGGAATGGTGGGGAGAGGGTGGGTGGTCCAATGAGCGGGGAAAGAAGACAAAGATGAGTAAAGGTTCTTATCTTCAAAGCTGGTGGTAACACAGAAGGAAATTTCATGTCCACACTAGTTGAGAGCTCCCTGAATGTGTTCCTTCAAGAATTCCTCATATTATACAATATTCTAAATCCTTTCTGGGGAGGGGGAGATAGTTTGTGTGGACTGAGTGTAAAATTTAGGTAGTTTCCAACTTCTGTGTTTGCAGTTTTAGATTCCTTTTCCTTCAGTTATTTGCTCCATCATCCCTAACAGACATCCCCAAAGCAGAACTGTAAGGGGGAGCTGAAGGACAAGCCTGGAGCCAAAGGCTGTAAAGGTGAGGATGGATACTAGACCCAGGTGGAATGTGACTGGAGAGGAAGAATAAATAAGAGTGGGCACTTTGATAGGGAATATAAGGGACTACAGAAGCAGCCCCCCACCCCCTGGGTCAGTCATTCCAGCCCCCCTTCGCTGAGCTTCCAGACTGCTGAAGTCTGTCTCCCAAGAATGTGAAGAGGCCCAGACTGCGGTTGACTGTTGCTGTTGACCTTTGGTTGACATGTTTCAGGTAGTCAGTGCTTGGAAAATGTCATCCCTTTTGTTGGGAAAATATGTTCCAGGTCTTCAGTGAAGGGAAGATGCCATCTTAGATGACTTTTTGACTAGGACTTCTACAATGGACAGTATTGGGAGAGATGACTGGTCACTTGTGGCCTCCAGGAGCCTTTGTTTTCCTTTATTTGTTAAATAAATCCCATTATTGTTCCCTGAACCTGAGTGGTCTTGCAATTGTGTACTTGGGTGAACAACTCAGACAGTGATCAGTAAACTGTTTGGACTGGTGAAGCTATCCTTGGCCAATTTTAATGCCTCCTGTTTCCCAGTAACAGAACAAGCACACATATGACCAGGTTACTACCTTTAGGAGTTTATAAAGCATTTTATTCAGAAAAAATTGAGCCCATATATCTATAACATAATATATAACATAAAGTCATCCTGTGTTATATATTATAAAGTATAACAAATGCTTAATTGAACTAGATAAATACTTAATGGATAAAGGGGGGAAGGGAACAAGGAGACTGGGGAAGGAAGGGAACAGGGTAGAGAGCCAGAAGGAGACCTGGAGGGGGCACATGGAGCAGAGAGACATGTGATGAGGATGCTCTTGCTTTTTGGTCCTGGTCTGGGTAAAACAGACGTGGGTGAGAGACCCGTGGGGAGGTCATCAACGGCAGCATTGAGCTTGATTTTGATTTTGTTCTTTTTCTTCCAGACTTGCTTGGCAGTTTCTGCCCCTTTCTATGGGTCCCCACCAGAAGGTGCGTTAGAGCCGTGGCAGGCTTTTGGGCCTCAGAGGCCCAGCTTTGTGCCAATTCTGTTTGCCTGGGCATTTACCCACGAGAGGATGGGTAACTGGGTGCTTGATTTGGAGACACTATTCTTCCCCTTTTCTGTCTTGCACACTGAGTTCCTTTCTATTGAAGGTCTTATACACTCGGTATGTTTTATCTTGGTGTAGTGGATGGCAGAACCAATTTTGAGCAGGCAGGTTGGAGTGTTTTGGGGTGCCCCTCTCCCTGTCCTGTAATAGATTTCTACTTTTCTCAGCTCCAACTCCCTTGGTTGGGACAGGAAACCTGAAACCTTCCCTTTTCCTGCAAAGGTAAATTAATTTATCTGGGCTTCTTTAGTGGATCTTGTTCAAAAGGTGCAGATGTACAGTGTTGGGATTAATTATACATTCAGTCCTCAGTGAAATCACACCTTATTCTGAATTGGCTTTACTTACAATCTTTACCCAAGAGCTAGTAATTTCTATGTAACCAGTCACACTTACCAACAAGTAAATTTTTTTTAAAAGATTTATTTATTTATTCATACAGAATTGAGGTACAGGCCAGAGATGCGGAGGGTGAGAGGATTCACCAGGGACAAAGTGGGGAGCAGAACAGGCAGATCGACGAGGTACACTGCTGAGGGGAACAGCGGGCGGGTCAGGAGAGGTCTGCCACGCCATGTGGATCTCCTCTGGGGCAGGC